ATAATAAAATTGGCAGGATTGAACATTTAAATAACATCATCTCTAAAAATGCAGCCACACATTAGGATAGTTTGGGAAGTCACTGAGGGTTCTCCTCAGGATCTGTGACATCCCCTACCTTTTCTTTTATTTGGACTCCTGAAATAACTGTTCATGTTTGAGCCACTCCCATTTGCCCTTCTACGTCCTACCTTGAAAACCTGAACCTTGAATTCTTGAAGACTAGAACCATTGATCATTATCGAGAGTTTTCTCAAGTGGCTCCCGTCATTTGGGATGTAATTAACTATAGGGGCTTGCCTCTATAGGGAACTTGGAACCCAGGTAAAATAAACCCTATTTAATCTTTGTATTAAATAGGGGAATTTGTCGGTCATATATAAAAGGTTCGCAGACCAAACGGATGTCACAAATCTCTTAGTTTGCAGGATTGGGTCTATCGCCGAGGTCTACACTTATCTCTCGGGAAGGTGTAGTATTCGCGGTATCAGACACGATTATGCAAACTCTCAGACTAATGAGATCCATTTGGTCTCATTTTTCAAAAATTAAAACATACTGCTTTTAAAACTCAAACTATATATCTTTTATACTTAAATTAAATCTCAAAAATTATTTTCAATATATCATATTTTTTTTTTAAATAAATCAATCGAAAAAAAAGTTGACCGACAGCATATAAAGAAAAACAAATGTAATATATACAAGACTTAAAAATTAAGTACAAAAAGTCACGAACTTATCTCTTATAACAATGGTATTATCAACTTTATTTTTAAAGATATTAAAAAGAATATATTTTCTAAAAAATGCGTGATACTAGCATATGATACTAGATATATAATATTTATTATCAATATCAAATCTTAATTTCAAAAAAATAATCTAACTAAAGTGATTTTAATTAATGTAAGTAAAAGAAATTGATTAAAGGAACAACTAAGAAAATTTGCTCACGAAGCATGTGATATAACTTCTGAAAAATTCCAGCAATATGAAATTTAAGTTTGGTAGAAAATTTCTCTTAAAAAAATAATTTTGCCAAATTAATTTTAGGAGAAATATGAGAGCACATAGCACTTCAAATAATTTGTCAACAAAACAAAGATAAAAGAAGCAAATACAAAATTTGGATTTCAATCTTAGATAAATCTTAGTGAAATATCTACTCGATCTTATCAAATGTGAAAATATATTATCGATGCAAAAGAACAACTCTAACAAATCTAAATTTGAAATAATGTTGTTTTCACCAAAATCAAATGGCGAGTCAGGGCGTTCATGGGGCTAGCAGATTTCACCTTAAGTATGGTAAGAATTAGCTGCACCATTGCTGTGATATTTGACCGCATTCTTTAACCTATAGGTGGTGAATAGTGTAACTATCTATATAATTATTGAAAAGTAACTTGTGTTTTTGTTGGACAAGTAGATATCCAAAGGTAAAGTTTCTTGGCATATGTTTTCTTGTTATCATATTATGACAGTAAGTCGTAGGTAATATTAGTTTGAAGTGTCTGACTTTTGATACCAGATAATCTGCATCATGCATGTTTTTTCTTTATAATTTACCTAACGAAGCAAAGTTATAAGCAATGAACGTATTCTATTATCCATATCTACAAAGTAGTCTCACGTTTGACCACGTTTGGTTTTCTTCAAAGCAGTGATGGATGATTTTATTGCTGTATGTTATTGCCTTGTAGTCAACCTTGATCACTTTGCCATACATAAGTCAAACCTGTTGTTATCTTTAATTTCCTTGTAGACTTTTTAATGCCAACCGTTTGAAACTCTGATTTTAATTTAGCTTAGTTTACTTTTACTGCAGCTTTGCTGCAGTAATGTTGATTTATATTTCATTTTTTGTCTGCAGATGGAATCTGTGCTTAGGCATTGCTATGTCATGAACCCTAGAGAATTTGCCGATGCAAACAATGAGGGTGATGATGTGTTCTATTGTGAATATGAATATGATGTTCGCTGGCACAGTTTCAAGCGTCTTGCTGAAGTTGCTGACTGTGACAATGTAGGCATTCTATAACTAGAATATGCATTTGATTTGCCCTTTAGAACATTCTCTAATTTTTCATCTTAATTTATGCTATAGGATGAAGAGGCTGGAAATGATGAAGATTGGAAATACACTAATGATTCAGGTTGTGACAGTGAAGATGATTCGGACTTCGATGATGACACAACGGGAAAATTCACTCAAACTCATGAATTAGCTGCAGTACGCTTCTCATTTTTTTTTCATCTTAACCTGATGTGTTCTGTTTAATTCACATGTTTGTATATGCAAATTTTTCTTAGAATTCACGTCAGGGGAGGATATTTGGTCTTCACAAGATAGGATTGAAGAAAATTCCAGAACATGTGAGGCTTTACAAGCCAACTGACTTGGAACGGGCGAAATCGATGCTGTTGCTAACAGCTTTGCCCAAAACGTTACCTTGCAGAACTAAGTATTTACTTCATTTTGATAAGACGCGATTTTTTCTCTTGATCTTTTTTCCTGAAATTCTATGATTATATATTAGGGAAATGGAGGAGATTACTTTATTTATCAAAGGTGCTGTTTGCGAAGACCATTGTTTAGGTCGCTGTCTTTATATTCATGGTGTTCCTGGAACTGGCAAGGTTTGTGATACTTCTCTATTGTTATTTCTAAAAAACCTTTTTCATTTTACAGAGTGTTTTCTTCTTTTGTTCATTTATTATTTCTTTTATTTAAAAGCTTGAAGACTCTTTATCTTTTTAATACTTCTCTGTATCAACCTGCAGACTATGACTGTACTTACTGTCCTGAAAAACCTTAGGGCTGAAGTTGATGCTGGAAGAATGAGGCCTTTCTGTTTTGTTGAGGTTAATGGTCTCAAATTGTCCTCACCAGAGAATATTTACAGGGTATTGTAATAAGTCTAGTCTGCAATCTATTTGAAGCGAGCTCTTTCTTGCATCTTTTAATATTTATTGTGATCAACTTGACTATAAAGGTTATTTATGAAGCTCTGAGTGGGCATAGAGTTGGGTGGAAGAAGGCTCTTAGCATTCTCAATGAGCGATTTTCTGAGGGAACCAAAATTGGCAAGGAAGAAAACCGACCATGTGTTTTACTTGTAGATGAACTTGATCTTTTATTAACCAGGAATCAATCGGTGAATCTCTGTCTTTGATTTCTATTTTTACATTGATTTTTTAATATTATACCACATGGATCCATGAAGATGTATTAGGATTTTATGGACATTCCAATTGCAATATTTTCCATGTTTCTTGAATTTGACTTTGTTTATTTCAGGTGTTGTATAACATTCTTGATTGGCCCACCAAACCTGACTCGAATCTAATTATTATAGGTATGAAGCATGGACTTGCTTTTTAATGGACTATATTTGTCTCCAATGTTGTGGTTTCTTCAAGTTCTAACTTTTATATAAAATTTTTAGGGGTTGCTAACACTATGGATCTTCCAGAGAAGTTCCTTCCTAGAATCTCAAGCCGAATGGGGATGCAGAGGCTTTGTTTTGGCCCTTACAACTATCAACAACTTCAGGAAATTATATCTAGTCGCCTTAAAGGCATTGATGCATTTGAAGAACAAGCTATTGAATTTGCATCAAGAAAGGTGTGGCCCCATGCTCGCTTCCTTCAACTCTACCTATGTAATGAATCAAGAAATTATGAGTATTCATTATACCGTGAAACCCTTATGAAGTAAACGTTCAGTGAATTTTATTTTTTTAAAATTTTTCCATTTTGGCTAGTTGTCTTCATTTTTAAAATGATAAAAGGCTTCAGTTAGAAGAGTCTGCTTTCTTTTAATTTGTTTGAGATCATCGCATGCATGGCAACAAATTTATATCGAAGTTTTTTGGCTACAAAGAACATATGTAATTATCAGTTGAGTAGGTGTCCAACCACTCTTGGATCTTCATTTCTACATACAAATATTTGAAATTTGATTCTTTTTTGGAATTTCATGAGAATCTATATTTTAAAACACAAGGTCAAATCAACATGATGATAGCAATGCATGACATAAGTGAGTAATTTTATAGATCACAAATTTAATTTTATAATAAAGGAAATATGGGCAATATTAATAGATATTAGCTTTGATCGTGGGACCCTGATTAGCTATCTAGGAGCATATTCCTACTTATGTAGCTTTCACGCCTAACTAAAAATGTGTGCTGTAGTGTGCATGTGTGGAGCATTACAAGGTATAATGGCGTACGTGACGTAACTCACAATATACCAAGTGGCCTTGTATCACAATATCTTCATTAAACCAACATGATGTATGTTTTGCATTTTAGTTAACAAACATACCACCTATGATAAATCAACATACATGACCGATAATTCTCACGTAAGCCTCATTCACTTTGCCTTTGCCATGCATGATTCCATATTGTAGGATAACATAGCATATGGAGATACTCCTGCAAATGTACTTCACATATATGAGAATACATAAGATTATATGGGTAGCCATATACTACAAATCTAACCATAAATATTTAGTTGAAATAAAGTAAAACACAATAAAATTCACACTAGGGAATACTACAAGAAATCCTGTAAAGTGAAACACTATACCAAAATCGAAGATAGGAGAATTATATCCTATCTTGAGCAACTCTCTCCACTGGCTCGTTGTGTAAATCAGATTAAAAGCCTCATAACATGTGCTTCTCTCCCTCTTTCTCTCACCCAAATGTTTGGATGAAATAAATGGGTTAAAAAGACCGGTGCGGTGCGGTTATTAGTCGGGTAATTTGACATTATTTTTCTTTTAATTGAAATCAAGTTGCCCAAGGAATCAACACCCAAGATTAATATAAGGCTACTAGAACTCATGAAAGAACATCCATGAAATGCTAAACTCAATCAATACCAAATAAAATTTATAACATGGACACTTGAGGACTCCATGAGTGCAAAGATGTTGACTTATATCATCTTTATCGCACTATAGTTTAAAAGATTGTACCATAGATTGTTGATTTATTCATGTCATATATAACTGGTTGTAGAGCATAATGCTTAGAATTTGACTATAGTAAGCTTATGGGAACATCGGAATGATCAAACTGTGTATATTTAAATATATTTCATTAGAAAATCAATATACACTCACAAATACAATTTAAATCTTGTGTGGTTTGGGTTATCGCATACATGTACTATGTCTATATGGCAGTGGGTATTACAGAAGCACTCACCCTTTACAACCTCTGGAGGAGCTCATGTGTTATCAAAGTTGTGGTCAAGGCATGTGATGCACGCAACATGCATGTATAATATAGGCAACTGCTTTGGCCAGAGAGTTTGCATAGGACCTGTGCTGGGTGGATCATCTGATCGCAATGTGGGCGCCTTTCTTGTGAGCGAGATAAAAAATGATGAGCTGCCCTATTTTATTTATATAATTTCTTTAAAAAATGATTTCATGGCCCCAAAAAATGGAAATTTTGGACAAATACAGGGGTGGTTAATAACCATATTTTGTTGTGTACAGCCATTGGTTAACTTATAGTAACTTTAGACTTGATTGTGGTCAGAACTTTTATCTCTTCAAACCTGTTATCACATGTTAACTTGACGCACGAATAATCTATTAAGCATGAAGTTTTGTGCTTATATAATTCATTTTCCTCTTTCTTCTATTCTTCAACCTGCAGGTTGCAGCCATGTCTGGTGATGCTAGGCGAGCTTTGGAAATATGTCGACGAGCAGCGGAGGTGGCAGACTATCGACTCAAACAACTGGCCCAATCTTCACATTCATCTTCTTTAGGGCAATCTTTGCCTGAAGGTCTGTAGCATGTAGCTCTTCATGACAATATAATTATTAATGTTGCTTCATATATTGTTATTCCCTAGCTGGTTTCCAGCTTGATTTTGCTATTATTTCCATTTAAGAAATGTGTCAACTATAATTAGTTCTCGCAATATTATTGTATTAAGGCTTTTTTAGTTTTCATTTCATGAATTTCTTTGAGATCATGGGGAATTAAGAGTTATTTATTAATGCTCATGTATCAATTTCATATATTTTTTAAACCTTTTAAGTACAATCACTCCAATGAATGTTATGAAGTATGCTTCATTTTTGTAATTGTCTCACAGGGAAACATTTTGTCAGTATGGACGACGTTGAAGCTGCCATACATGAGGTATTTCAAGCTCCGCATATTCGGGTGAGTCATAAATAATTCTTATTTGTATCTCCAGTGAAAAATGACAAATGATCAACTAGAATACGATTAATCTTAAAAAAAATGGATCGATTTAATCTTTTTGAACTTTCATGCTTATCTAGGGTTTTGGAGACGGCCAAGATAACTTTATTATTTTGTCCAGTGTTTGTTGACACACCTCCCTGCTTGTATTCTTAAATGAAGATTTTAAGTTATATAATAGTTTTTATTTAAACGGCAGCTATTGATAGAATTCACGGCCAATGGCATTTGAAGACAGCATACATAAGATGAGTTTAGAATGGATGATATAGAGAGCTTAGAACTTGACAAAGCAATCTATGAGTTTTCGGATATGAGATATTTTGTTGCATGTATATTCATTTTTTGCTCGTGTATTTGCATCTTTCTGATTACTGTGAGAAACCTGTTTGTTGTTGTAACTGAATCGATGTTTTGATCCCAGATAATGAAAACTTCTTCAAGATTGAGCAAAATTATGTTGGCAGCTATGGTCCATGAACTCTACCGGAGCGGGCTTGGTGAGGTTACCTTTGAAAAAGTTAGTTTTCTTCTCTTTTACACTGCAATTTTGGAAACTCAGAGGAGGTACAACAGAATGTGATTTGCACAATTCAGTCGGCATCATTTGAACATGGTTGAAGCATGCACAATTAAGCCTCATTTGGTTAGCATCTAGAGGAATAATTGTTATTTTTTTAAACATCCTTATTGAAGCCACATGCAAAATCTGTTTACGAACGGTGGTTAATTTTCTGAAGTTTTCTTCTAGTTTCTTTTCTTTTTTTTATTAATTGCATGGTTGAAGTGTGCTAAGAAGCTAAAACCAAGAATCTTATCCTGTTGCTGTTTTTTATACTTTGAATAATATACAAAATGATGTATAATATTGAAATAATGCATTTTCGTTCACTTATGTTCATTATCCATTATTAGAAACCTTGACATCCCAACTAGTTCATGGTTGTGTTTATATTTGTTTTTATTATTTTATCACCTTCAACCCCCTCGTGCACATGCCTACATGCATTTCTCATATGGTTTGGTTTATTTATTTATTTATTATTTTCAGTTGGCAACTACTATTCGGTCTCTGTGTTCAAGTAACAGGGAATTACTACCTGGATGGGATGACCTCTTGAAAGTTTGGTAAGCAGTTAAGCAATTACATTAATGATTTGTTCAGTTTGTGGTTTATTGTTTTTGATGTTAGATTTATTTATTAGCGCTTCTGTCAGTTTGGATAGCCAGCTGTGCATTTCTGAAATACTTGTGACTGGAATTAAGATGCATCTCCATCATGATTTTGATCTATTTCTGTATGATATTTTTCTCACCACAGTCATTTAAGCCTGATTAACATTAATTCCAGTGTTGTCTTTGACATTTAGGTTCACAATGCAGCTTCTTATTTTAACATCTTTTAACATGCACCTTATGAAATATAATCTATATAATACATATTATATTTTGCAGTCTGTAGTTCTGTATTGATGTTCTTATAAATTAAGATTTAATTGGTTTAACAAATTTGCATTATTTGACTTTTTTCTTGCAGTTGCAAGCTTGGCGAGTGCAGAATCATTCTTTCAGAGGAAGGTGCAAAGCATAGGTTGCAAAGGATGCAGCTCAACTTCCCAAGGTTGATTGCTGGATTTGCATAAATTTATTAATAACAAATTATACCGAATTTGCATTTCCATTTTTTTTAATTCACGGTGAAATTTTTTAGACATACCTTATGATAGTGAATTTTTTGGCACTGTAATTAGTTTTGAAGAATTAGTGTAATTAAAACAAAAGAAAATCCAAGCAATGGAGTGCTAATTCTAATTATTCAGCTGTAGCGGTCATTGCTTGCTGCTTTTATGTGGTAGTTATCTTGTGCGAGTCAAAAACCCATAGTTTGTAGAGTTGCTTTATGAAAGTTAGAGGTGAGTTCTAATATAAAATAAAGGTATTTTTTCCAAAAGTGTTAGAATGCTTTTAGTGGTCTTTATAATAAATTAGATACTAAAGAGGGTGAAAAAAATATAGGCATAAACTAGCCAAACAAAGAGAAAAGAAAAGATTTAATTTAAGTGCATTAAAGATGAAAATAAAAAAGTATCACGACTCGGCCCAGGACTTGAAATTTAACCAATATGGAAACAGATTGTCGGACGGTGAAAACTGTGCTTTCTATATTCATTTACTATTTAACAAATGAAAGAGTTACTAATCAAAATAAATAAAAATAAGATATTTAATTTTATCTCGTTACTGGTTGTCCGCGCTTTCTATACACATTTTCTCTTCTATCTTTTATCTTTTAATCAATTAATTTAACATGAAAGTTAGTTTAAAAATAACAGTGAGCTAAAAAAATCATCGATTACTCATACTTTTAAACTGTCGTAATACAAGGAAAGAGAAAATAACATGCATTTTTGTTAAACTTTTTAATAAATCAATGTAAGCATTTGACATGTTATTCAATGAATCTTACTATATTAATATTGTTTTGCATGTTGGCTTAAGCTTTCGATGTAGAGGTTACATGTCGAGCGATGGAGAAGTCGGCATTGGTGTCATGCGGCCAATCAGAGGTTACAGAAGGATGTATCCTGGTGTATTCTTTTCGTTGATGATATCCTTCTTATGGATAAGATTACAGAAATAATTCAAGAAAAACTTGAATTATGGAGGTCTACATTTTAGTGTAAAGGCCATCGTTTGAGTAGATCTAAAATTGAATACACGGACTGTAATTTTAGTACTAGTAGCTCTAGTGGCACAATTGTAACTAGAGGTGTTCAAATTATTAAAAAGGTGTGAAAATTTTAGATATCTCAAGTTCATATTGTTCCAACTGATGACAATATAGATGGGGATGTTATTAGTAGAATTCAAATTGGTTGGTTGATGTGGAGGAATGCATCAGGCCTATTGTGTGATAGAAAAGTACTGCTTAGACTGAAAGGAAAATTTTATAAGATGTTAGTGAGACTTGCAATGCTCTATGGCGCAGAATGTTGGCCTTTAAAAGGAATCATAAAACAAAGTTAAGTGTTGCTGAGATGAAAATGCTTAGGCGGATGAGTGGCTTGACACTTGGAGACAATTGTGTTGCTGAGTGATGGTGATATAGACGGAGATGTTATTAGTAGACTTCAAATTGGTTGATTGAAGTGAAGGAATGCATCAGGCCTATTGTGTGTAGAAAAGTACTCCTTAGACTAAAAGGAAAATTTTGTAAGATGTTAGTGAGACTTGCAATGCTCTATGGCTCTATGGCAGGCACAGAATGTTGGCCTTTAAAAGAGAATCATAAAACAAAGTTAAGTGTTGCTGAGATGAGAATGCTTAGGTGGATGAGTGACTTGACACTTAGAGACAAAATGCGAAATGAATAAATCTGTGGTAGGGTTAGTGTGGCTCCAATGGCGGACAAGATTAGAGAGAGTCGTCTTAGATGGTTTGGTCACATTAAATGTCGACCATCTGATGATCCTGTTAGGAGAGTAGATGTTTTAGATTCGACTTGTGCTAAGAAAAACAGAGGTAGACCTAAAAAGACTTAGGCATATTGTATAAAAAATATCTTAATCTATTAGAATTAAATGAAAATATGGCATTCAATAAGATACAATGGAGATAAAGGCTTGTTATTGTTGTTGTTGTTGTTGTAGGTTAGAATTTCTGTCAATTCACTTCGTAAACAATCTTTTTGCAATAGGTATGAGCCTAATAATATTAACCTTTGTCTAGTTCCTGCATTGGCAGGAGACTTTTGCATTAGGTATGTCTTTTTTTCACCCTTACTAATTTTCAATTTTGGTTATTTTGAGATGGCTTTATCACACTCAACCCATCTTATTGTTGATATTGCTTGCTTTGATATATCTATTTGTTCCTCAAAACCTTCCAAAAATCATCTACGTAGAATATCATTCGTTGTGACACTTCTCTTCGCAAAACTCACTGTCCTTCCTTGCAATAAGTGTTCATCTTGAACCAGAAGAGGTCTATTCATGTGATCAAGACCATATCAAAGTTAAATTTTGATTTCACAAATGTTGCAAATCATATGCTGCTTAAGAAAGATTTTCTTAATTATCACCTTATTCTTCAAACCTTATTCTAACATTTCATGTTTTCTCCTGCAGTGATGATGTTTCTTTCGCATTGAAGGATTGCCCAGAAATCCCCTGGCTTTCAAAATACCTTTGATTTTCTGAGCCGGGCATATATGATGATGTATTTCATGGAATTCCTTCCAGAGTTTAAAGTAACTTTCCATGATCACTGTAAGTCAATATGGAAAACCATCTTCCTTCATTCTGATATCTGTTCTGAACTTCACTGTCTGCTATGAGGCTGTATGAGTCAGGCGGGCTAGATGTGAATTTTTCTTTCATTTGATTTTCCGTGCAAGTTATTATGTTCTCTTTTTTTTTTGTATCAACAAGATTTGTATGATAAGATTCGTTTCTTGCTGGAATGAAGATAAATGTATCACCTTTTATAGGTGAAATATCTAAATTAGAATTATCACCTGCATGAAGGGAATTGTAAATGCTTCTTACTTCAGGACGCGTTTTCCACAGGGAAGCGAAGATGCAATGCTTGAAGAATTCTATTTAGGTCAGCAATCTTTTTTTGGTCAAAGCTACGGGATATTGTTGCACTTCATTGAGATTTTAGATTAAGATATAAGGATTGGTGCATCCAATCTCAATAAACATTTTTCAGGAAGTATTCTTTTAGAAGCTAATAGTTCTCTTCTTGCATTTATTTATGAACTTTTTTAGTATTTTGTCTTTTGATTATAAGGTCACTTTTTAACGAGGAGGAAAGAATTTGAGATTATTTGCGAGGAAAGCATAAAATTCATTAACTCATATTGTACTACATTATGATATTCATCAACATTTTTTTTTTTTTCTAATTGATATCTTGAAATAAATTTTGTTTTCTTGTTCCTTTGCTGCTCAACATACATCTGTCAACTTTGTTTACATAAGATCTAATCTGGAAACAAAAAGGTAATGAAATATTTATGTGAAAACCACTTATTTGATTGAAGAGAAATTGAGTGAAATTTTCTTTTAGTATTTCTTATTTTGTTTATGAGAACTCGAGGCTTGTTGTCTTGTGGTGAGGGGATTGTCAAGGGGCAAAAAAATACATTTATTCATATTTTTCAGGGTAAATTTATTTACTGGTTCATTTTATCAAAAATGAAACATGAAAAATAAAACGCATTTACATTGTATTCTATTGATTTAGATCGAATTGAATCTTAAATTTTATTTGTTTCATTAGTGTTGGCCTTGTGGGTGTTTTGTGTATGTCCATTATATATGATTTTATTCGAAGAATCTTGTTTCCTCATTCATGACATTTCCACGTGTAAAAGGCGCATGGTTGTGCATAAATGCAAGCATAAACAAATAAAAAAACTAGAATTAGAGGAATTTTATCGCGTTGTAGCTTAGGGAAAATTGTCAGAAAATCTTTTGAAGAGACGTGATTGTTTATGTGAAACCAAAGAGAGACGTGGATATACACTCGGTACAAGTTTAAAATATTAATAATAATAATAAAAAACCCTTAAGAGGAGCCATTAATATGGAATAATGAATATGAACCTATCAGTTTCTTGCATCGCGTTGTTCAATTGTTTAGCTAATTGAATGTTTTAACCAAAATTTAAATTTAAAAACAATATCATAATCACCAAATTTTCTTTACGATAAAGTACACTACAGCTATTCAATTAAATTCGTATTTAAATTGACGTCCTTTTTCATTACATTCACTTGAACACGGCCATCCTTTGAAGAAACTTTATATCAATCCCGACACTTGAAATTTAACCCACCAAACTGCTTTAACTCATTACAACATCCTTTTCATGATGACAAGCAAGCAAGCAAACAGGCAATTTTAACATCATAAACAGTGAAGCCTTTCTTGTTGATCAAGGTAGGCATGATGATGAATTGCTGCTGTAATTTCTTTCTTTCGATTAGCAATGAAAGTATGCAGGGAGAAAAAATAAATAAAATTGAAAATAGAGTTTTTCAGCATATATTAAAACCCTCTGTCGAAGTTCAAATTTAAAGGAATGATAACTCCATTGTTGACGGAGAATATTTCCTAGTTGTTGACCGATTAGCAATAAAATAAAACAACTCATCCAGCATAAATAGTGAACTGGATTCAAATGGCGGACGTCATAAGTTATAGCAGTTATTTCTTTCTTTAAACCTGAAAATAAAGCAAATACTCGTCGAAAATCTAAATTAAGAAAAATGTGATAATATCAGTGCAAATTGTCTCAAGCATAAATCTTTCAAGGAAGATTTACATACATACTACACTCAATTCATATGTATTTACATATCTAAAACCCAAACTTCTTTTTTTTTTACATATAAGTCATTTATTTATGCTTGAAAAGGCATATTTCATTTTTTTAAAAAAGCTAAAACGGACATGTTCAGGCGATATGAAAGATTTGGATTGTGTTAAATGTAAAAAAGTAAAAGTTTTGATGTTAGATATATGTAAATAAATAGGAATTAGGTGGTATGTAGGTAAATGCCGAGAATCGAGGTACCCCAACAGAAAAGCACCACAATTTAATATTGGAAGACAATAATATCGGCAAAGACTGCCAAATAATAGGAAGAGCACCACAATGGATCACGCAAGCCAAGTCATAATATAAAAATACTAAAAATAAAAAATAAATAAAAAAAAAACATTTACAAAACTAAAGGGACATCTTCAAAGCATATGACTCGTTTTAAGGGTCCCTGTATAATCTTCTACCCCGAAGACGTAAGAAGCCTGTAAATGCCTACAAATGTTGCACAACATTCATTTCAAACTACCCATTAAATACTAATCAACCCAATCTGCAAAGCTTCTACCAACCAATTTTACTACTTCAAAGGTAACAGAATAAGAAATGCAATTGCTACATTCTGTACCATTTCGGGTCCGTACCTGTCCCGCAGTTTTAACTATCGCCTAGGCTCGTCGTTAGGAACCTCCGCAGAGCAAACTGGGCAGGCCTGAATCAGTAATAGCAGGTTCTCAATAAATAATTGAAAGATTTACATACACATCACTCAATTCCTATGTATTTACATATATAACATCCAAAAAGTTAAAATGATGGTATTTTTTATGTGATAAGAAGATGTCGGTGGTATGAATGTAAAAAAAGTAAATTTTAAGTGTTAGATATGTAAATACATAGGAATTGGATTGTATGGATATAAATGCCCCTAAACAATTAAAGGCTGTGAAGGAACAAAGCGAGATGATCATGGATAGATAAATGAACATACCTTGTTTATATTAAGCCATCGACTGACACATCCAGAGTGGTAAACATGCTTGCACGGTAGAGTCATTTGTCGATCCCTTCTTTTATAGTCCATCTGGCAAATTACACACCTGCAGCCGCAAATAAATAACACCTTTTCTTGTATGATCGGATAGAATGTAAAAACAGAATCTCAGTATAACCCCAAAGGCTTCCCCTAACCAATACATCACAGCGGCCGCAGTAATAATCCAAAGTTAATAATAAAGATCCAGGAAGATGGGCAAAAAATATAATGTGGTATACACAGAGAAATATAGAATTACCTTTCATTTTGTTTCTTCTTTCTCGAAAAGAAGCTGCATTTATATTTCGTCACAGGAAGTGAAGATATACGCTCTTGAGAAAGACCTCGGCTTTGACTTCCAACTGATTCACCAAGATCTAGTAGTTCCTTTTGATGAAAAAAATGTCAGTGAAACAAATTAAAATGAGCGGCAATACAGATCCTAGTATACTGTCATACAAAGCTAAAAAAGCATCGTTGGGCTCCAGTACATTGTTCTCCATGAAATATTGTGACGAAACAAATTTTTACATGGGCTAGCATGAGTTCAATGGCTTTGCAAAAACATGGCGAGGCTAAATTCATCGGTAAATAACCAAAAGGATGGTATTCTAAATTTTATTTGTTCGAAATAATGCAGGAAAAAACATTCACGAATTCAGAATATCAGCACTCCAAATTTTTTTCCAACTTCCTTAAAAAACATTTGCGCAATCTGGTTGCATTGGTAAGGTAAGAACCATAAGTTGAGTATTCTCTCTAATTTTAGAAGCTAATTCAATATAAAGTTATAAAATAATATAAATACCATAATTAAAAAAACAAAGAAAATGACGGGGTAATAAATAAATAGGCATACCTCATATGTCATACTGTCAGGATCGATACTGTCTTGCCAAATGTATTGCTGTGGAAATCACGAATCATCATCATATGAGTTATAGAAAATTTAAGAAGCATTCGCGAAAGTAACAAAATGGTGGAATTAGGAATAATTCATTTTACATCTCGGAAGGCAGGTTCTTTTTTATTCGTATATAATATTGGCAGAAAATTATTAGCTCAGAAGGAACAGCGCCAAAGAGCTTATCACAACTTCGGTGTGGACCAAGGCCACTTATCACGGCGGTCTCAAAAAGATGCTGGGAACAGACATGCTGAATTGAATAGATAAAAATCTTAAGTAGCAATAGCCTTAAGCACATGCTTGAAGTGATGAAAGAGCGCTACAGGTCCTTCTTTCATCAAAATATTATTATAGAAAAACACCAGCATCTGCTTGGTTCCAAGCAGATATTAGGTCAATAATCCATTAGAGAACTCAAGCCAAAATTCACAAAATTAATTTAAATTTGAGTGATCTGACCTGAAGACAACCAGCATCTGCCTCTGGATTCCAGTTGCCAATTATTATTTTGAGTTGGATAACTCATTTGAGTCTAAATTATAGGCTCAATTATTATTCAGGTTAGGCTTTTTGTATAAACAACTTGAAATTGACCTGAGTATTCTTTAGGTTTGAAAAATGTGAGAATTGAAGTCGGGGTAATAAAGGGTAAATTGGGTTATGGGGATCCAAACGCGCTAAAAGAAAAATCTGCTGAAGGTGGTCTGGCCAAAGCTACTAGGGAATGCCAAAAGGGCAAGTAAAGATTCCATCACTAAGACTGTCTCATGAAGGTGAAGGCTGTAGTGTGGAATGTAAGAGGGTGGTAAAAAATGATTCATATGATTATACAGTTAAATTGGTCGGGTTTGAATCAAATATTTTGAGTAACAAAATAAATAGAACGGATCTGGGCCAAGTATTACCAAACCCTATCAATCTACCCACATGCATTGTGCCATGAGATAAGTGAACTAAGGTGAAGCAAAATTTTCAAGACCTCAACCATAGTTAATGTGCCAATTGACGTGAAATATGGGCTAAGACGTCACAAACAAGTGGCATGGCAAAACTTGGTTGAATGATGGCAACAAATGTGAAAGCCTTGATAATGCGTAAAAATAATATTAGATTTCATAGATAAAACTAAGGAACTTAAATAGAACATGATTAGACAGAAAAAAAAAAATCAAACGTAAAACAGAAAAACATAAATTCAAGGACAATGAAGAAGAACACTAGTTATTATATGTCAGAAAGATTAACCATAAAATTGTTGTAGGGATAATATTAGATACAGTTTAAATATAAGGTTGTCAAGGAGAATATTGTTGACTAAAGGGTGACTGCTATAAGTTGATTTTTAATGAGGATTTTACAAATATAAAGGTGCAACAATCCTTGGAATTCATTTATAGGGATGTGCAGGTTTTGCTAGGAAAGACTATCAGAGATTCATTATGAATATTCAATCAAAGATAAAATGCTTTGGAAGAAGACACAAGAGCACTTTAATACTTTCTAAAGCGGAGCTACCAAATCAAATATTCATAATTATTACTTAGAAATGCTTTTAAAGGTAATAGTGGTAATTATGAGCGTTAATCTTAGAATTGCTAAGGCAATACCACAAGTAATTGCCCCAACAATAAATAGTGCAACTTAATTTTTGAGAAAATCAATAATCCTTGAAAAAAAAAATCACTACTCGAGTTAAATTGAAATTATTTAGTTGATCTAAACTAGATGAAAAGATAAAAGGTCGGTTCTATTAAAAAAATTGCTGAAAAAATTTTAAGAGAGTGCATAAGAAAATTTGGTGAAGTGAGGATGTACAAAAAGTCAGTGAAAAAAAAGTGTTTATTGTGAAGAATTGAAAAGCAAAGCAAATGTTACAATTATTTCAGTAATTTACAAAACAGTCTCATATCATCAATAGGAGTGTAAATTAGTCAAGTCGACTCATGAGCCGACTCGAGCTCAGCTCGAGAAGTGGTATGTGAACTGAGTTCGATGAGCTAACAAACCAAGCTCAAGCTAGCCCCGACTTAACTTGTTAGGTCGTGAGCTGGCTCGTTTAAAAAATATTAATATAAAATATACTCAAAATATATTAAATTTGAAGACTTTATCTTTAAAATATTAAAATTATTTAAAAATATTATTTTGTATTCTCTATTAGGTGATTTCTCATTATTTCTGTCATTTATGCCCATTATATTTATCATTTTATTATAAAACTATCTTAAATTAATATTATTTTCTGTCTTTTATAATACATTAGTTGGTTTGTGAGCCGGATCGAACTCTTAGATTTAAGCTCAAGCTGGAGGTCAAACATGATAAAATTAATCAAACTCAAGTTCAAGTCGAGGTGGCTCGAGCTCGACTCAACTCGTTTACACCCCTAATTCCAAGGGAGGAGACAAGAGTGCTTTATAAAATAGCTTAAGCATGAGGAAAAAGTTGTAGATATTTTCATTCACTTAGATGCATTAAAAACTAAAATAATAAAATGTAAGCAAAAAAGAAGTTAACAACGAAAGAGGAAATGTCAACTTGAAAATTTATTGAATGAGAATTTAAAGATGAAATCAAACATATTTAATAAAATAATGAAACAAATTATGCATAGATATATAGAAATGAAATTAACTTTGAAAATATATACATAAAGGTGAATATCTAGTTAAAATTAGATACAGATTTAGATTGGAAAGTTACGAGTGAAATTGCATTCGTTTGTTCAGCAATTTTTTTAATAGAACTCTAAAAACTAATATGATATGAAATGATTACACAAGAAGTATTTGGTATTAGTATTTTGATATAAGGTGACATTATGGTAATTGTGGAGGAATCATATATAATAAAGTTATGGGACTGATGAAATATAGACATTTAAAATTTAGTTAGTACTGAACAGTCAATTTGGTTTCATACAAGAAATGCCCATTAAGAATTCAATTTTGTGCCTAGGTAACTAGTGAAAAAAAAATATAGAGAAAGTAAATGTTTTCATATCAACTACATTTTAATTAGAAAAAAAGTATATGGCAAGTACATTAAAGTTATTAAAAACATGCATGATGAAGCATTGATTAGTAATATCAATACCAATGTGGTGACTGAAGTTTACAATTACTATAAGATCACAATAAGGAATGGCGTTAAATGTACATTTTTTTTCTAAATTAAAACGAGAAGTTTGGAAAGAAAACATATTTGAGGTTAGATGCCCTGGCACGTGTTTTCATAGATGACAGTCATAATTGATAAAAATCTTACTAAAATATACCAAATGTTGAATAATATATTCGATGTATAAAAGATGAAGGAATTAATTCAGTTAAGATAAATATTGAGCAAATGATATACAAGTATATAGTTAATATGATATGAACAATAACCAATCTACATCACTAGAAAATAGAATGATACCTAAGTGTGAAAGATTGATGCATGTTGCATCTATTATACATAAGAATGAGGATATGGATTATACAACTGATGAAGGTTGGACAATTATAATTAAGAACTATCTCAAGGGCTTTATGTTATAAGAAAATATTATGGAGAGTAAAAAAAAAAGGTTACGAAATTGTAATAAAGTAACTATTTGCATGGACATAGAATTAAAAAAAAAATCATAATGTGACAAGAAAATTATAGAGACGTGAGAGGTGAAATTAGGATGTTTAAATTATATGGCTTGAGTGTTGGGCAATAAAAAACACTAATAGCTAAATTGAGCACGGCAAAAATGAGAAGTTAACATGAGTAGATGAAAAAACTAGAAGAAAAGCAGAAAATGGTTACAAAAAAAGTAAAAGAAAGTTAAGATGGGTATGAAACAAAATTTTAAAAAATATAAGATACCAGTTACATAAGAAGATGGCATGAGTAACATATAATGAAGATATGATCGTTCAAAATAAACTTTTAAGTAGCTTGGACAACCAAGAAAGGTGGAAAATGCACCCATAAGACAGGTAAATAAAATTACTTTCACATGATTAGGAAGGAAAAAGGGCATGGAAAATAAAGATTCATAGAACCTCCCAAAACAAACTTGACAACAATCGGTTAAGTCTTATTTTAAAGGTTTTTCATTTTGTGCTTTTAAAATGAACTATGAGAAATAAAAAATCAAAATATGGTCAATCACATGGGCAATTTAGGAAATGGAAAACACAATCATATTGCAACTTGCTAACATTTGTGGCAACAGTAGTGGCTCTTATTGTAACAAAATATGGTATAATGAATCAAGCCATCACCAAAAGAAACACAAGTATAGCGGGTTGTTGTATTATTCAAGATTCAACTCAATGGGCTATTTAAAGACACCGGTGAACTTGGAAGGCTATGTAACATCTAGGAATTTAGGAACCGGCTAGCATCAACTTTGTCTGACAAAGAGAGACGGAGGATTGGGGGAGAGCAACAAGGAGACAAGGGAGGAAATGGAGTTGGAGATGAAAGGGAGGAGGCGGAGTGAGAGAGTTGAAGCGAATAGGGAAGCAAATAGGGGTGAAACTGGGGATGGAACCCAAATAACAAAGACTACAGGTAGCGGAAAGATGACTTGAATGAGAAGGCAGTTCAAGTGACTTATGCGTGTGGTTTAGGTGCCGAACAAGGCTAAACCAGAGGATGTGCTCAAGCCACACACCATCGAATGAGACCGAGAGGAAGGAGGTAGACTATGAAGTGTGTGCGTCAAGCAAGAAGTTGAAAATGCAAGCAGTGTTAAGCCGAGCAGGGACCTTGACACACATGAAGCTAGCCATCAAAAGCGGCAATGGGCTGAAACAAAGAAAGGCATGTTGACGTTAGGGATTTTTAATTCAAGTATTAAGTTGAGGTTATGGCTCCTTAAATTCTTCACAGAGAATTTAAAAACTAAAATTTCAAAAAAAAAATACTAATTTCAAATTCTTTGTTAGAATTAATATGAAACCTATTGTGATCAATTAATATGAACTTTTATTTTTCGTGAATTTAAATAATAACAATAA